TGCAGCTTGTTCCTGTAAACTGAATTTACAAAATTCAGCTTTGAAAACAAAACAGTTTGTTTACAGCCATAGTACACCAGACCCCAGTGGTCTGGAGAAGTGGTTCCTGCAGGTCTGCAGTAGCTGCTTTCCAGAGTATGTGCTGTGCTGGCTGGGAACACATATTTGGGCAGCAGGGCCAGGCCTATGGAATCTAAACAGCAGCGCTGGGAGGTTTGTGTTTAAATTCCATCTGCAGGTCTTGGCCAGGTGGTCTCTGAGTGCAGAAGAAGAAATAACACCTCCTGAGCTGGAGAGCCAGCTGTAGATTTTCCTTGTTCCTGCAGTCACAACAAGGGAAAGATGAGAGGCTGGAAATGAGGATTTTATGTGCGGAGTTCAGTGGGACATCGAAAAAATCCACGCCCCACTTTGTAGCCATTGGCATGCAATTCACTTATTTTTAAGCACAAGATTCTGCATTTCATCCCTCCCAGGGCATTTGAAAGAGCTCTGGCTTTGTGCAGCATTTAATTCATTACAATCCCAAGCTCCCTTGCCAGCTGAAAGTCCTGCTCAGCAACATTTACGTGTCGTGGTGTGGAGAATGAACTTACATTTTTCTGAATGGGAAAAGGGGATTTCTCAGGCTGGTGTTCACAGCAAAGTCTTCCCTGTTGCCTTGTGTTAGAAGGGGATTTAAACACAAGGCTGTGGTGCTGCTGTGAGCGTTTCTGAGGGAGAAAAAAAATGGGGGAACAGCAAGTGGAACCAGAACCAGCTTAATGAAGCATTTGAGCTGTATGAAAACCATGAGTTCTACCATACTATACCTACAGTTTCCATGGAATCAATAGGAATTCAAACCACCTGTTAAGTGGAGAATATATAAACCGACCAGACCAGCCTTTGGAGGTTGGCTTGGTTTGGGTAGAATTTATTTTGACATCTCCTTGTCTGCCCCTTCAGTGTTCTTTGTAGAAATTAGTTTCTTAAAATGCTGGTGTTCCTTGAGGCTGATCAGTAATGAAAAAAAACAAAACAAACCACCAAAATTCTTCTGGGTTTGCACACAAATAAATGTCCCTTTCTGCCCAAATCTGGACGGTGCTTGTGTCATATGGTTTCATGCTGAGTGAAGTCCCTCTTAAAATCCTCTGGTTAAGGGAAGAGAACAGGGGATTCTTCTGCTGTTGAGTCATCTCATATCAGAGCCTGATTGTGCTTCTGCAGAAGCTGCAAGGAGTTTTTTTCATTTGGGTTGTTAATTGGATGTTTTTTTTCGGTGCCATAAGAGCTACTGGTTTAAATTTGAAGTCAATTTAACAGCTGTGAGTGGCATCTCGTGTGCCCTCTACCTGCTAAGAGAGAAGGTCACCCATCTGCCTTGTCCCTGCAGAGTCAAAACCACGGCTAAAATATCCTGCAAGGTCATTCATTAGCTGGGTTTATTAATATAGAACAAAATGATGAGGTTCTCCGAGGCAAAACCTTGCATGTAGGTAGATATTGCCAGGGTTTTGTGCTGTTAGAATACAAACCTTCTCCTAATTACACTTCAGTTGACTGAAGAAAAAAATAAAACACCTTGAAGGGAATCAGGTCACACTCCCACAATGGACATCTATTTCTTGTACTTTGCTGCAAATTTTGTGATATTTGAATGTTTGTAACTGTTTCTAAAACACAACTGCTTAACCTGGAGTTTTAAAAATGGAGAGGGTGGTGTCACTGTGACAAATCTGTCTGCCCACCTGTATCTGTTGGCTCAGGCAGTTCCTGAGCTGGGAAAAAGTACGTGAAAAAACTTGGGAAAGGACTCCAGCTCTCCTGGTGTATCCAGGACTCGCAGGTGAAAGCTGCAGCACATGGAAGTGGCAGCCTCGAGTGTCTGCAACTTCTCTGCTGGCAGCCCTGTGACTCTCTGAAGCACGTTTGGGCCACTGTGTCCAGGGGGAATTCCAGCTCTCTTGGCTGTGCAGGGGAAGCTTTTTTGGCTGGTTTGCTGCAATCAAATCACTTGAGGACATTTGGTCTCAGCAGGAGGAGGAGGAGGAGGAGGAGGAGATTTCTTCATGGGAGACTGAGCTGAGCTGCTGGAATGCACTGCACATTTACCCACCAGATGGTTTTCAGCTGCTTTGATGTGATGTGTGTGTGTGTGACAGTGAGGAAAATAGGAAAGTCACCTATTCCCCCAGCCTTGTTTGCATCAGCTGTGCCCAGAGCCTGTTTCTGTGGGTGCTGCTCTGCCCAGGCCCCCCCTGTGCAGCCCCAGCATCCCCAGCCCATGCTGTGGGTGCTGCTGTCCTGGCTTGTGCCGGGCACTGGTGGGCCCAGCTGTCCCTTGGGATGTTCTCCTGCTCCCCTCCTTGGAAGCAGCACCTCTGCAGAGCTGCAGCAGCCGTGGCAGAGGGAGGCAGGACCACGTGTGTGCTGATTTCCACTGCCAGGTACACGCTGACCGTGCCGGTGTCGGGCAGGTTGCTCTGCATTTGCTGCAGGAGTTGGTGTGTTCTTACCGAGCTGGCAGGAGCAGCAGCCTGAGGGGCTCTCCTGTTTTTTGGGGTTTTTCCTTGTTGTTTTGCTGCTTTAAAATCTGAAGGCTGGTTTCAGTTAAGCAGCTGCTCTCAGTCCCAGTGTTGTCCGAAGTAATTGACTTTCCATTGACTTTGGAATTTGGAATAGTATCTAAACATTGTTGTCAGCTTCATGCTGATTCCTCTCCACTGAGCCTGAAGTCGTTTCACTTATGACCTCAAGCTGGACTTGTGTTTTGCTCCCTTGGGAACTAAAAATAATAATTATTTTAAGAATAGGTTCTTAATCACTTCCTTCTTTTGATGCACTACTTTTGTTTAACATTTTCTAAGAATGTAGTAGAAAATATTTTAAACTATTTGTGTTTTAATTCCAGTTTTAATTAGCTCTTTGAAGATGCAAGGAGTGTAGCAGACTTGATTACAGTTCCTTTTAGTCTTTTTATAGAAAAGCATTTGCTCTTCTCTATTCCTAGTGCAGATTATTAGAGTTTGGCTGCTTTGGCAAACTGTCACACAGAGCCCTGAAAGATGAACATTAAGTTGACAGATTTCTTAGTGGAAGGCATGTGGGCACTTTGTTGGTGTTGGTGATGCATCATCAGTTAATCTCCCATCTCCAAACTACTAATGTACAGAGGGAAAAATAGGAAACTATGTGCTTGTCTGGGTTTAGAAGGAAAGATAAGACAAGGTGTTCAGTGAACACTGAAGGTGAGGGGGGAAATATTAAACAGGTGGAGAGATCTGCTCTCTACCCTGACATACAACAGCTGGAGAACAGTGACATTAATACTTAATTTGAGGATCTTTTTATAAACTAAAAGAGTCTTGAAACTTGGAAATGGGGTTTGGGGAGATGTTTTTTAAGTTTTTACAGTCGGGCAACAACTCCCTGGATGGTGCATTTCTACAGCCTGTTGCTACAACTGGCATTTTACTCAGTAGTCAAATTAAAAGAGCAGAATTGGGTTTCTTTACCTGTCACTTGGCTGCAGTCTGGCATTTACTGTTCTGTTACTGTTAGGATTGGGGGAGTACTGGAGTGGCCAGAGCAACTGTGGTGTTTACAAGGGAGGAAAGAAATGGTGAGCCAAATACTTGAAGAAAGTGTTATTTTAATATCCTGCTATTGGCAGGTCTGGCATCCTGGCTGCTTTTGTTTAGGCTGTGAGGACTTTTTACTTGTTTATAGCATTACAAGTTTTATTAAAAGTTTTCTTCAAAAAGACCTGCTGTCAGGAGGTTTCCCAGACCAAATAGGAAAGTTCCTGGCGCTTCTGTAGGATGTACTTCCAATTTGCAGAGTGATTTTAGAGCTTACGTGTAAAACAGGGGCTTTTAAGGATAAATAATTCATCTGTGAGTTCCCTTGTACCGAGTGGGTGGTGGCAGGTTTCCTGTGCTGGTGCATCCCTGCAGTGCCACTGCAGTTCATGGCAGAAATCACTCCCCCCTGCCCAGGTGCTCAGTGATTTCCCTTGAGAGGGCACAGGGTTTGGAGGTGACTGTTCTGTCACTCCCTTGTGCACATTTTACTGCAGATGTCCATGACCTGATGCTCATGCCAAGATGAAGCTGTTTCCTTTGCCTGGGAAGATGTGCAGCTGAACCCTCAAAAAACGAGAGGGAGAACCTGGGATAGTGCTTTAGTCTCTGGCTTAAAGTTAACTGTGCTATAAATATTTCCTACTTCCCCTGCTCTGTCAGTAGGATGGATTAATGATTCACAGAGGTGTGTTTTGAGGGCTGGGTGGTTTGTGTTTGTACAGTGTTGACTGGAATCCTTGTTACTTGTTCCTTTTCTCTTCCATCTCCCTTCTACCTCCCAAGATCATTCATACATAACCTATTTCTCTTTCCAACCTTACCTTTCCTTGGAGAAAACTTACTATTTCCAGCCTGTTGGTGATCCTTTGTGCCCAACTGTGTTTGCCAGCACCGTAGAATTGTTGGGGTTTGGTTTTTCTTGGGCCAGAACTGGCATTTCATTCTTCCTTTCCAGTGTTACCAGCCTGGAAAACCGAGTGGAACTGTAGAAATGAACTTCAAAAAGTCCAAGCCACAGCTATATGTGACCAAACATTCAAAAACCTCGAGGCCAGGTTTTGGGCTTAATTTTGAGTACCCTTGTTCTCAGTTGATGGAAGCTCATAGGTGGGGATTTGAAAAGCTGGGATAATGGCAAGGAGAAAAGAGTGGGTGAAATGAATTTCATTGCTGCTGAAGATACTTGTGAGACCAGTTGTGACAGTTCTTTAGTTCTCATGGATGAGAGCATGAAGGAGTCTTGAAAACTGGATGAATCTCTGTCTCCTGGCTCAGTGAGCCATGGACAGCACATGGCAAAAGTTGTCACTGACCGAGTGTGACTTGTTTTAATTTTTTTCTACTGACAGCTTGGCAGTTTTAGGGAGATACGTTGTCTTGAAAGGAGAGAAAAACTGAAGGCAGAATGATTTGTTGTCTGTTTTGTTTCAGCGGAAGGTTGGTTTCACCAAAATGGAAAAATTTTAAGGGACTGAAACTTCAGTGGAGAGATAAAATCCGTCTCAATAACGCCATCTGGAGGGCCTGGTACATGCAGTGTAAGTACCGCGCTCCCGTGTGTCACAGCTTCCCTGAGACAAATGTAACAACAGCAGGGTGCAAATGATTGTGCAGTGGCAAGCTCAGAACTGTGCTCAAGGCTGATGTCTCAGAGGCAGAGCCGTTGGATCAGGGCTTGCTTAGGGAGGTCCCAGAGGACGCACTGAGCGCTCCGAGCACACACCGAGAGCTCCCTGTCTCCTGCTGTTGGGAAGAAGCCCTGGCCAGACTCCCTTTCACGTGTTGCCACTGAGGTGACAGATGGCAGACCCTTCCCGTGCTGAGCACTCACCCTTTGGTTCTTGTTCCAGACCTGGAGAAGCGCAAGAACCCCGTGTGTCACTTTGTGACTCCGCTGGACGGCTCCGTGGACGTGGACGAGCATCGCCGGCCAGAGGTGTGTGTGACACTCGAGGGACAGCCCGCTGACCCCTGGGCTCCGCAACATTTCCTGCTCTGCTAGAAGTGAGGGCAGCTGAGCAAATCTTTGCTCTGTTTCTGTTTAGAAGGAACCCTTACAAGCAGACTGAACCTGCTTTTGTAGGTTTATCACGTTAAGGTGATCAAGGTGCAATCAGAAGGATGTTTGTTGTCTGTGTAACTTATGTTAATGTTCCAGTTTAGTGAATTGTAAGTCAAAGAGGTGAAATTTGATTAGTTAGGATTTTGACAGCCAGAGGTGTCTTCTGGCTGGAAGTTGGTGGGAAATCAGAGTGACAGCTGTTTTCAGGACTGAATCTGAGTGACCCTCTGAGAGTTTTCTGTATTTGATGTAAGTGGTGAGGTGTAGTTTCAGGACAACAAACAATTTCTTTTTTTTTGTGTCAGGGTAACTTCACAGGAAGAGCAAATACGAGTTTGTGTTCTTTCATTTTTGTGCTCTTGTAAACGTAAATGAACACTAACATCTGCCCTCTGGCTCCTTGCAGAAAACCAGTGAGGCCCTTGATGTGGCAATATGTGACTCTCTCTGTACTGCATAACTCTAGAATAATTTATAACTCAAAGGAGTTCCAGATGACTTTGTGGAACTGTCTCAGGTTTTCAAAAGAACGGTGTTGATGTTTGTGTTGAAAGTGACCCTCGAACACAAAGTTAAGGCTCTCATTAGTCTGCTCTCCCCAATTTATACACTGCTCTCTGTGACACATCAAAGACCATGTTGTCTGATCCTTTTGTTGCCATTAGTGTGTGACCTGCAGGGTCACATTCCTCCCTGAGCTGGACATCAAATTTATATTGCTTTGTGTTCTCTGTAGCAGCTCTTGCTTATGTGTGTGTATCTGTGCATGTAACCTGGTGGCATTCACAGGATATTCTGTGCTTTATACGTTATATTTCAGAAAGTTAAGTTTAATTTACTTTTTTTTGGCCATTTCTTAACTGTTGGCTGTGGTTGAGCTGGTGTGGGAGATGCTGACAGTGCAGCCAGACATCATCTCGTGTTTGGTTTCTGTGGGAAAGATGAAGTTGGTACTGTCAGATTTGCTCTGTGATAGCTGAACTCCGGGGCAGTGTGGGCTGCTGATACACGAGCTCAAACAGAATCAGCATGCTTTCTTTTGCATTTTTTATGCCTGAATATTTGCTTGGAAACATGTTGAACATTCAGGCCTTGTGTGATCCCGTGTAATTCGTGGTATGTGTTTGTGTTCTCAGGCCATTGCGACGGAAGGGAAATACTGGAAGCGAAGAATCGAAATAGTCATCAGGGAATACCACAAGTGGAGAACATACTTCAAGAAAAGGGTCTGTTGGTTCACTTGAGCTTGATCAGTATGTTGTTGCTTTTTGAGGCTTTTCTATCCCTTTTTCTAGCATGCAGGAGCACTTAAGCCGGATGATAAGCTGGTACAGACACGCTCATCTGATTAGTTCCACTTAACTAAAAATTATTGTGCTGGGACTGACTGTGCATGATTGGGTCTTAAAAGTTTTGCAAAATCAGGTCTTCTCCTGGCACATGCCGGCCCTGTTCTGACTTTACCATCTGTTTTGTTCTCCTTTTGCAGCTACAGAAACACAAAGATGAAGATCTTTCAAGTTTGGTCAGGGTAGGTAATGGCATTTGTGCTTGTAGAACCCACAGTAGATAACGAAGCTGTAACGTGCAGTAGCTTGCTTTTGATTCAAATCTAAGACAAGCATCTTGCTTAAGCCTTAATTAAGATTAGACACCTTCATGTTCTGTGCCTTAGAGAGCAATGTAAGGTTTGTAGCTGAGATTGGTTGGAGGAGAGGTTGAAGGTGAAGTGCTGTGACAGAAGAAATGAGAATCAGTGTTGCATGCCCAGAGAGATGAATCTCTTTGAGGGCTGGCACGTGATTTCATCTGGTTACCGAGTTGTAACTGGTGCTGCTGCCTTGCTTGTGTAACTGGATCTGTGAGGATGTGTGAGCTACATGTTGCAGATCTTCCTGCTGTGCCCAACTCGGGCAGATATTGTGCCAGGATCCTAAAGAAAGACAGAATTTTTAAAGGAACAGTGGTGTCACCTTTTAGTGTGTCCCCTCAAGCCCATCAGAGCTGCTTTGGGCATATAAACTGATGATCAGAAGCACTGTTCTCTTTTCTGTTTTGCAAGGCAATGCATTTTAGCTCAGCCTTTAGAGAGGGATGGGTAAGCCAAGTCACATTATGTTGTATTTTCCATGGACTAAAAGTGCCCACAGGAATATCAGCACACCTTGTGCAAAGTCAGAGTACAATTACACTTCACTGCATTGCAGAGTTCCAGATACTTCTCACCAGACAGGAATTGTTTGCTTTGCATTCTTGCTGTTCATGTTATTTTTAATTTTTGTTCGAACCAAAGGGTTGTTAAAGTGTAGGTACAAAAATACACATGTAGTGAATCAAACAAGAGGGTGTTGATGAAGTTGTTTTATGTCCTTCTACTCAACATCTATTTTTCTGGGGCAAAAACCTTTCCTGGCGTGTCATGGTATTTATTCTGCAGAAGTTTTCTGTTGTTGCTCAAACCAGCGAGCTGAAGTTGTTGGTGTGTAAGAAACACCACTGACCTGTTTCAGTCCATTTGATGACTCCTCAAAGAGAGCTTCTTTCCCTAAGAATGTGAAGAATGAGGACTGTTTTTACGGGTCTGCAGCAGGCTGCTGCAGCATTGTCTGGGCAGCCTGACTCGTCTCCCTTTCCTTTGGCAGGACGATGACGTGGTTCTCTGGCAAAAGAGAAGGTATGGCAGGGAAACCCCAGTCCCTATGGAGGAAGGCAGCCTGTTGGATGCAGACATGCTCATGTCCGAGTTCACCGACACTCTCTTCTCCACACTGTCTTCACATCAGCTGGTTTCCTGGCCAGATTCCAGGGACATAGGTATTTCTTGGCTGTAGCTCTGTTGCAGTGAGAACCTCTGTGGAAAGTCCCTGGTTTGCTGCTTTGCTGCTCTTGCAGCCTTGCCTAAGAAATCTGTCTTATATTGCTGAGACAGAGAAAAATAGGTCAGAGCCTGTGTCTGTCTTATGCTTTATAGGTTATGGAATCCCAGCTATTCATCCAAATTTAACTTCTGTCTTAACTTCTTGTGTGCTGCTCCCAGCTTTGCCTTCTGACATTGCTGTGAATAAATCTGTGATGAGCAATATTTCTCTTTGTCAGTGGTGAAGGCATTGTTATTTATCTCAGAGCACAGTTGTGGGTGTGTTTTTGAGGGAGCACCTGTGTCTTTTTAATTGTTTTTGTCCCTTAAAATGAGTGCAAGTCCCATCTGTAAAAACAATTCCAAGAGCTTTAGAGTTCTGTCTGGTGGGAACTGTGCACCGTCCTTGCTGCAGGGATGTCTGAGAAACTGCAGAGCAACTGTGGTTTACGTGAATCGTACTCAAGGCAAATGAGCTGCACGATAATTTACTTTAAAATACTGTGCTCTGGTGGTTCAGGTTGTGCTTCCCAGCAAGTTTGTGTTGTGCAGCAGGGGCAGGACAGGTTTGGGAGCAGGAGACATCCAAGCTTGGCAATCCCCAGTTGTTAGTGAGAGCCTTCATGTCTCACCTCCTCCATTTTAGTAGTTGAAAGTTTCATTCCCCAGTGCTTTTGATTTCAGAACTGTGCTGTAGTTCTGAAGAGAAGCAGATGCTCAGTTCACTTCAGCAGCAGTTTTTCTGTGATATCTTGGCCAAGCCTGGCTGTGGAGTGTGTTCATGTTTTAGCCAAATGCTTTATTCCTGCTGCTGTTACTGTGTGAGTGATGGGAAGCTAATGTAATCTGTCTCCTGAATTTTGCAGGACACTTAGGAAATGCTGATATGATTCAACCAGGGCTTATTCCTCTCCAGCCAAATTTTGATTTTATGGATACTTTTGAGCCTTTTCAGGGTAAGAATAATAAATTGTCAAGTAATTTCTTTAAAATTGTAGTGGTTGGTGAACTAGTTTTTCAAACAAGGATAAATTATGTTGCAGATGTCTAAGGTTTTCCCATTTAACACTTCTTAGTGATGAAGAGATTTAACATTTTGTTTGCCTTCGAACATTTTATGGTACTGTCGAGAATTCCATGTGACGTTAAACTGCTACTGATGACTCTGATGGTTATGGATCTCCATGGAAGTCAAAAGTCACATCTGTTTTCTGGCCCTGCCTGCAGCCTGCATCACATAACTGAGCTTTGTGGGACTGCGCTGGGGACCAGCTCTTGGCTGTCTGTGTGTAGGTGAACCTTAAGCAGAGGGCAGATTTTTGTGTTGTCCCAGCCTACATGGAGGCTGAAATCTGCCCTGAAGAGATCAATTCATTCCTTAATTAACAGCAGTTGTGTGAAGCAAAAAGGGCCTGGTTTTATTATTTGCTAAAGAACACTAATATTCCTGTGAATTTTAGGATTTAGCAATGCTGTAACTTGGGTATGAAAAGTAGAAAATTAATAGGGGACCTTTCCTATTTCAGAATTATTCACGCCCAGTCGCTCCAATAATTATTTCCCTTCTGCGTCCGCTGTCAGCTCAGCCACGACAGACAGCAGCAGCCACTCCTCCCAGGTGAGAGGGATTCCTGATGTTTAAAACAGAAGGCTCTGACATGAGCCATGTGCTCCTCTGGAGGAGTTTAGACATGTCTGAATCAGTAATATTTGTCTTTCCTGTCAGTCTCCTGTCCTGCCGTCGGGGTCGTTGCCCAACACTCTTCCAGCAGGGAACATCGATGATGGACTGATTGCTTCCTCAGTACCTACTCCCGTCATTCCTGACGTTGGCACTGACCAGTGTTCCACCATTAGAAGTGGGGGATCTTTCATCCAGCCTCCGGACTTCCCTCCGGACTCGTCTCTCAGCGGGCCACAAACTTTCATGCCAGTGTTCCAGCCCCCCCTGCCGCTGCTCCAGCCTGCGACTGCGCAGCACCAGTCCCCGCTGCCGGCGGTGCCTCTGAGCTCCAACCTGAGCTCTGCCCCGGCTGCCTTTGCTGCACCAGAAACCCCCAAGTTTGGGCTCTGTGACTCCACGGTGATCACACACACGGCCTCTGCCACGCTGACCCACAACGCCCCCGCCACCACCTTCAGCCAGAGCCAGAACGTCGTCCTGGCCACGCAGCAGCCGGGGGTGGGAGTGCCTTGTAACCTGGCTTTCCAGACTGCTGTTGTGCAGGGCCAGCCCCGGCCCCAGCTCCAGTCCCAGCTGACATTTGCACTCCCCAAAGCTGTTCCTCTGGCCAGTGCTGGGACAAGGCCCAAACAGTCACAAAAAATAGTGCCTACTCCGAAGCCTGAAACAGTGTCCTTATTGGTAAAGAATGCCTTCATCACCCCAGGTGAGCAGCACTGGGGGGGTCATGGGTTTCCTGTCTGAGTGGGACCAGCAGGAGGGAAAGACCACCTTGCTTTTCTTGTTTTGCATAATAAGTAAAAATACATCTTGCTGCGGTGTCCGTGGAACCCCTGAGTGCACTGGGGTGTGACCACACTGGTCAGTGGGATGCTCTGGACTGCTGGAAGGACTGGGAGCAGTTTGACTGCGAGTGTGAAAAGCTGACCTGCAAAAGGGGGTCTCTCCTTGTAACAACAGTGCTGGGCCTGTATCTGCATCAGCACATGGGCCCTGTGATCCTGGCCCAGGAAAGCTCAGGTTCAGGTCATGCTGTTGTGATGAACTCTGCCCCTCAGTGCATTCAGCCACTGTGGAGGAGGAGGTGGTAGGGAGAGAGTGTTGCTCTTCCCTAGGAGAGATCAGGAGATCTCCTGAGGGAACTGGAGATCTTTGTCTCGAGCAATCTACAGACTCCTGAGATGCTGAAATGGAGCACGTGGGTTTTGGGTCAGAGCACGAGCACCTACTGATGTGCTGGGACCTCCACACTGGGTGTGATTTGGAGCCTTTGGCACAAGGCTAAGAATAGCAAGAGGAGCAGAGGGAGTTTTGCTTGTGGTGGTTCTTGTGGGAAAGCTCAAGGCCAGAGCAGGACAGACAGCAAGCTTTTTGTTGGGATTGTTGCAGGCTGTTTTTAGACTTGTGCTGGCTGGGGGCCAAGTGACTTCAGCCACTTGAAATGAGCAACAATAATTCACAAAAAACCCTGCCTGGAGGAGTATTGTTAAACAGGCTTTACTAGGGAGTAGGTGTGTCTGCCGAGGCCTGATACTGAGCTTACCCACTAAAAAAAAAAAATAAAATCACTGTTCAGGAGAATAACATACCCAAGGATCTAATTCTAACATGTCACTTGGAATCAGGTTGGTCCATGATTAATGTTCCAGGGTGTTAATGGCACTGGTCCTGTCTATAGTGGATTATAAACCAAAAGTCCATGTACCTCCAGCAGTCAAGACAAGAATTTCTCACTTAGTAAAGCTTTGTAGGCAATTCACTGTGAGAAAGCCTTTGCTTCTGGCTCTCTTAGTGCTTCCTGGGTTTTTCCTCACCCCATATATCACTTTCCCAATGCTTTACCAGTTGCTTCTAGACCATCACAACCGATGACTTCATTTCTCATCTGGGTTTAAAACTGTTGTTGTTTGTCATTCCTGGTAGTGGTGGTGTTTGGGAATCACAGTGCTCCTAAAGTACTGGGACACCAAGCTCTGGGGACAAATCCAAGACTTTTTATATAAAGACTAGCGCTTTATTTTTGGCAACAGAATAAATATCAGTACTGGTCACTGAGGCATTTATGCCTGTCACTTGTGTTCAGGACAAACAAATCATCTCCTGAGTATAAAGCAAATGCCATTCTATCTTGTGTTAGAAAGGGATGTAACACATTTACTGCCTAGTGGTATTAGGACTCAACAAATCTGTACAGATTGTCTCATCAGGTACAAGACTTCACAGGGGGAAGAAGTCTGCTATCACCCCTTCAGGATAAATGTGCTGATTTTGAGAGAAAAGTCTGCAAAAGATGCACGTGTAGGACAGAAACATAGAACGTGTAAAGTGACTTCTAAATGTTGTTCCCCAAATGTGGAAGTCAGGAATGCCAAGCCTGTGTGGCAGCATTAATGCACTGCTAAGAGTAGGCTCTTGAGCTCGATGGAGATGTCGTGAGTCCAGCTGAACGTCAGTGAACAGTGGAAGGGCTGTGATTCTGCCTTTAGATGGGGAGAATGCTCAAAGAATGAGCTCCCTGTGTCACAGTGACAGAGCTCTGTGCCCCACAGCCCCACCCAAGGGCTGGCACAAGGTCTGTGCAGTCCTCTCTGGTAAAGGATGTGCAGATACTCCCCTTGATCCAAAACACAGTCGCAGATGATCGGTCAGGAAGGGGACAGTGGATAATCCTGCACTGTCTCCCTGTCCTGCTGTGTGTGCCCTCCAGAGTCCTGATGCTAAACTGCAGGGCCTGGGCTGTGGGGACGCTTCTGGTGCATCCTGACTGTGTTAGTACGAAGGAGGGATGGATCCAATAGAGGCAAGAATGAAACTGAGAAAGTTTGGGTCAGTTTTCTCAAAAACCAGATGGAAGTTTTGTCTTTGCCTGATTCCTCCCTTAATAGCAGTCTAGGAGGGTCCATCGTGTTCTCTCTGAATTCTGGGCAAGAACCAACAGCACATTTGCCTTGGTTAAATGGAGATCTTCACAGATTCATGTGCAGACATTTGCTGCTAGTCAGAATTCTCTCTAGCTGTCCAAGCACTGCAGAACTCCTGGTTCTTTAGCCTGTTTTCTGGATTTTTGGTGCTGATTCCCAGTCACATTTGTTTGTCTTGTGCTTGTGTGTCATCTGAGGCAGCTGTAAAACCAGATAGTGAAAGAATCTGGTAGAATGAAGTGGTGAGGAAAAGGATTCAATATGTATGGAAGGAAGCATGAAGTGTTGGATCACTGACCCCTCCTGGGTCAGCAGAACAAGAAGTGTGGATGTGAGAGGAGAGGTGAAGATGATCTTCCTCCTGTCAAACTCAGCTCTGACAGAATGCAGCTCCCTGAATTACTGTGTACCTCTGTAAATTCCCCTGGAAACAGTGACACTGATGCTAAAAACCTCAGAAAAAAAATGATGTGTTGGAGTCCTTTGTACTGGATTAAGGGGGTTGAGATTAATGGAAAACTGGTGGCAGTGAAACAGTACCAAATAGGTGCTCATTAATCCATCCCCCTGTTTAATGACAAGTTATTTCATACATAATAATCTCCACCTTTTTGTTTTTTGTCTCATTAACTATTCTAACTGAATTATTGTTCTTCAGCTGCCTTTCAGGGACAGTCCAGAGCTGTGATTGTAACTCCAGCACCTTTAAAAAGAGAGGGGATTTTGACGCCAGCCACGTCTCAGTCTAATGTTGCAATTGCACCAGCTGGAATTGTCAGAGTAAGGAGAAGAACAAAAAATAATATATTTATTTTCTAGGCCTGTTATTTGCAAGCAGTGAGAACCATAATGTGCTCAGGAGGGTAACGAGTCCACTAAATGACCTGTTACCCCGCGTATGCATTTGTGCACTCAGCATTACCTTTGCTTATCTTTAATTTAGTTACACTGTGGGCCTGGAAGCACTTAATAGTCTTCAGAAACTGTCTCACACAACAGTAAGGTTCCAAGGAGGCCTGTGTACACAGTGCTGTGGATGGGGATGGCTTGTGCTTTAAGCCAGAAGGAGCCAGGAAAGTCACCTTTCCACTGACATATTGGAAAGCATGCCTTGAGTATGTGAGTCGGTTTCCCCAATATGTTGTGTGCAGGAAGATGGAAATAGACTGTAGTATATTATGTTGTTGATGTGTTATAATACTGCTTTAAGCTATGAAAGGACACTGGTCTCCTGCCAGAAGCCTGACTTCGGTGCCTGCCAATTCCTTATATATAAGCCCTTGTTTCTTGTCGTCAGATTGTTAATCATGTATTAATTTGCTCCTTTTAGTGAAAGGCAAGGTAACAAATCTCTCTCTCTCTCTTTCTCTTTCCTAATCTCTCTCTCTCTCCCCGCTTTCTCCGTTCTCTCACTCCTCTCCCTGTGCCCCCCCTGCTCTCTCTCTCTCTGTGTTTCTCTGTGCTGTCTCTGTGCTGTTCCCAGGCTCCCGGGGTGACGGAGTTCCGTAGTAACATTCTGGTTGGTCCAGCACAGCGAGCACCAAGTAGCCAACAAAGCCAGTCCACAGTCTCACATCTCTTCTCTCCTAGTGTAGTCCAGGATGTGTTGGTGAAAGGAGAGCACATCCCTTCCCACAGTTGCAGTTCACAAGTTCCCTCACCTACACCCAGTAAGTTAGAAAGCTCTAAGCGTTCTCTCTGCCCTGCACATGTAAGTGTGTTTCTGTTGGTTAGGCAGGGTATAAATGGGCCTTGAGGATCCCTGGATAATCCCTTTCTACCCTGCAGCTTCAGTTGCATCCAGTTGTTGGCAATTTTTGTCCTAAATGACTGTGCAGTGTTCCCACAAACTGTGGGTTTGTGCTTCCTGCAAGTGGCTCCTTTCTAAAAGGATGTGCTGTCATAGTCACCAAGAAATTAAACCCGTTGAAAGGCATCTGTGTAGGAAGTGCTGAATAGGTTTGTTGTTCAGTGTCATAACCCTAATTCTGACTGGAGGATCTCAGACACAGTAGGTAAGTGCAAAGATCCTTCTGCATGTGCATCAGTGGAGCTGGTTTTGGTGGTAAATGGCTTGTGAAGTGTCACCATCGTGTCCCAGGCCATTGGAGTCGAATGGGGGAGTCCAGCAGGACGATGGAGTCGCAGCCTACATGTTCAACATGCCTTTGCTGAACTATGTGTCTGTGAAAGGAGTATTACATCTTGCTATTTGGGCTCTATTATGCTTGTGCCATGAGATTCTAAGCTTTCCCAGCAGTCTTGGTGTTTTCTAGCATGTGGCTGCTGCATCAAACAGTGTAATTTGGTTGCCGACTGCATTTCAGTTCGTTTCTGAGTAGAAACTTCTCAGCAGTTACGTTTGCTACAGGAAGTTGTTTGTTAATGTGACTTGTGTTTCTTCCTTTATGAAGGCCGGGACTGCCAGAATTCAGGCCAAGCTTCCCCGTGCACCTCTGAGCAGAGCCCCAGCCCTCAGTCTCCTCAGAACAGCTGCTCAGGAAAACCTGCCACGGACCCCACTATGGCTGCGTTTAAGGTGTGTGTCCTTTCCTTTGAGGGGCTTTTCTCCTTTGCCTTTGGAGCTGTTTTTCTGAGCATGGACTAGAGAAGGTTGTGCTTCAGGCAGCAGCATATCCGTGTGTTGGGCTTAGCTTGCTGCTGCATCTGTGCTGCTCTGTTCAGTTCAAAATGTCAGTCCTTAATGATCTGCTCTGTTCCTCAGGGATGTGTCACCAGAGGGGCCAGGCTTAGCTGTACCTCTGCAGGTCCTTATGGTCATGACAGCAGTTCCTGCTGTGGCTCACAGGAGTGTTGTGACAGGTCTCAGTTTACTTGGTCAAAGGTTTCAGGCTTAGTGTTCTAAACCGTGGCTTTTTGCCGTTGTTCTGTTGGGGCTCTTCAGTCTGCAGGGCTCTGGCCATCGCTGGAGGGGAAGTTCATGACCTGCTGAGTTACTTACATGTCTCCAGTGATGCTTTGCTGCTCCACAGAGAAGCAGCTCCACAGACTCTACAAGTTACACCTGTAAAACCCTTCGAGAATTACTGGGGTAAGAACTCGGCGGTCTAGAGGTAGCACCTGACGCTGGTTGCGCCTCACACACGAGCTGACCTTGTCAGAACACTTTCTGTGATGGTATGAGAAACCTATCCACAAAAAAAAAACCAATGCAGAACAATCAGCTGCAACCCTCTCATTTGTTCTGTTGTGAAAGGGAGTGTTACTTAACTGGTTTGCAAGTGCCAACCCCCGTCTGGCTCTGTTTATGCTGTGAGTTGATACCAGCTTGATTACTCCCAGGGCAGAAAGGTAAGTTTAGCACCTCCAGCCTGTGATTGCACTCAGTTCTAGTTCTGTTGCAGAGGAGAATCAGAACTGGCCCTTGCTGACCGTGCTACAAGTTACTTATAAAAGTTTGCAGTGATTTGCATGGCATGAATGCCACAACCAGTAGCTGCAGCCTGTTCTTGCTGCTAAAGAGCAAGTTAACAAAGGAACACATTATCAGGGCTAGCTGATGGTGGGAAAGGGGTCACTAGATAGAGGAGTGTTCTTAAAAGTAAAAATTCTGCAGCAAAATAGGCTTCATAGCCATTTAAACTCACCTGCTCTGACAGGAATTACTTTGGATGTGTATTGTTAGTAACTCTTCTGTAAGAAAAGAGAGAAGCAGTGGTATTTTACCTGTCTCTAGGTGTATGTTCTTTTGTTCCTCTGCATTGTTAAATTCAACAGTTCTGTATTGCCAGGTACCATTGTTATTTCAGTTTGGAACAGCATAGAGGGCACTGAAAATAGCGGTCCTGCTCTTGAACCTGCATTTTCTGTGGTTTTGAGCAGCCACTTCACTGCTTTATTACACTCTTTTCCTCCCTTCCAGCGTGGGGTGACGGTGATCTCCCACCGGAAAGCCTCGCTCTGCCAGGAATGTGTTCTGAAAGGGCAAACTATGTTACAAAGAAGTTTCTTCACCCCAGGTTTCCTGCAGCAGAGTCCCAGGCATCCAATTCCAGGAAAAGAATAGGAACTGAGGGGTGCAGCAATAGGAACAACACAAGCTGGAGCCTCTGGAGAGGAACCCAGAACAAAGAAGTGCTGGGCTTTTGTACCGTTATGATCTCTGCACCTTCCTCACACGCTCTCCACCCTCCTGGCACTCACCTCTTGGGCTGGGGATGGTTTTTGGTCTGGAGCTGTTTTGTTCCATACTGGATTCTTTCTCTGCCTCCAGGCTGTGGGTGACTGGTTTTCAGGAGGGCTGTTCTGCTGTGGCTGTCACACAGGAGGTGGTTCCTCGCTGCTGCAGCTGAGCTGAGCAGAAGCCACAGGGCGGCGGTGTGGGCCAGCTCTGAGAGGGGATCTTCGCTGCTCCTTTGGCCTCCTGCAGAAATAGCTCCAAGGGCTTGGAGTAATCTGGCAGTCCCAGTGCTGGAGCAGAAACTGAGGCTCCTTTTGTAGCTTGGAAAGTCTTTTCTTTCTCTGGGTGCCAATGTATAGACTCCACTTCCTCTGCCTTGGGAGCTTCTGTCAGCCTCCTGGGTTAAATCACTCACAGTTGCTGCAGCTGTAAGAACAGCTGGAGCTGGTGCCTCTGGAGAGGGACCCAGAGCTGAGAAATCCCTGGGTTTTTATTCCCTTACACTCAGCACCTTCTTCACGTGCTCTCGACACACTTTGTCTGTGGCCCTTGGTCCAGTGGTGGGTTTTGGTCCAGGATCTTCTTGTCCCTTGCTGGATTCTTTCCCTGTCTCTAGGCAGGTCATTAGCTGGTTTATCTGGACTGGTTGCAGCTTCTGCTGACAGTCACAGCTTCCTTATCTTGCAACTCGCACTGCCCTCTGTCTCCCACAAGTTTGCAGCTTGTGGCCCAAGACTTCAGCAACTTTTATTGCTCATGCTAAGAACTGCTCAGACAAAAGTATGCCGTTAAAAGACTTCAGCTAACTGAACTTAGTTTCCCTCAAAATTCTTGTGAATTAAGTTTTTAAGGCTACAAATGAAAATGCTCATCTCTGACAAAGCCTTCATCCTCAGGGTAGGTGGGAGTTGTGGATTCTTTTTTTTTTTTTTTCTTTTTGTCAGGCTGTCTGTTGTATCAGTAGGCATTCTCTGTTAGGAATAAGTGATATGGACTGTTTTAAACAGAAAAGCTTCAACAAAACCTTAACTAACTGCATTCCTCAAAAATTGGAATTTGACTTCAGAAATGGTGTAAATAAAAAATTTTTACTTTAGGAAGAAAACCTACAAAGTTTGGAATTGAATTTAAAACACTGAAAGCTCCTTTATAAAAACCTCAATCATTGTTTGCAAATTCATAGTGCCGTGGCTTTGACTGGGGAGGCTGTGAATGCCACAGGTCAACCAAAATGACTGATTTTTGAACAGCTGAAGTAGTCACAGCAGCAGGACAGGAAAGCAGAGCAGCACAGACTGAGCTGGTTTTCTTTATGCAGAATCGAAGGATGAAGCATCTGTCGGAGCAGAAGAGAAGGGTGAATATCAAGATTGGTTTCGATGCCCTGAGCAGTTTGGTGTCAGCCAACTCCAAGTCGGTGAGTACCTTGGCAGCACTGACAGCTTGATTTGAAATGTAAAACAGAGCCATTCTGAAAGACTTGTTAATAAATTTAATCATTTCACTGTTGACTGAGAATGCCAGTCTGCTGGCATATCAAGTGAAGATACTTGAACTGAGGGATTTGGAAAGGGAAGGGGAGAAATCCAGGAGTTATAGTAAGCAGGAGTGTGTGCAAGCACTTCAGCTTTCAGACGTCGTCATTCTGGTGCAACTTCAGAGTCTTGTCTGATGAAATAATGCAGCTTTAAAGCCAACAGGGAATGTAGAAAAACTGATCTTGGGACCCCAGTACTGAAGCTGTTTGTCATGTTTGCAGCATAAGCTGACTTTGCATTTGCTGGGGTGTCCCCTTTCCTCTGACACACTGGCTCTTACACCCGTTCTGGGTGGGTCTGGTCCCCAGAGCTGCACTCAGGAAGGCACAATCCTTGTGCAGCCAGGATTGTCAACTCACTGTGCCTGAGCCACAAACTAACCAGAAGCCAGGGAGATGCTGCTGGTGTGATGCTGGGCCTGGTTTAATGTGCCTTGCCATCGGGCCTGAGTTAATGCCTGTGTTTATGAGCACTGCTGGATAGTTTGGAAAATATGAAAGCTTTTTCTGCAGCATTTTTATTTGTTTACATAATTTTTCAAGGTGATATGTCATCGGAATTTCACTTCCTGACTAGAATAGTCTACTTGAAAAAAACTGGACGTGTTACCTTCTTTTTAATAACTTCAGGTTTCCCAAACTAAATAATCTATATTGTCAACTTCGAACAGCACTTCTACCAGCCCTATAAATCTATTGGCAGATGTAGCACAGCCTTCAGTACTTAAGTAAGAATTGTAAATATTTGTAAGAGGACAGATAACAAAACAAAACATTTTAAATTATTAAAATGCTTCTTTCAACAAAGTAGCAGAAATGTAATGTCTGGAAGAAAGCAACCACTGCAACCACATTTCTCTGTGCTAGAGTTCAAAGAGGAGTCAGAGGAATGAAGAGTTTAGTGTCTGAAGTGTTTTGCTTGGTCTGGCCGTGTGTTTTTGCACCACAGTGAAGGAAACTTGAGGGGCTGAAGTGCTTTTGTGAGTGTTTTGCAGGTTAGGGACAAGCTCTTTGTGTGTCTCCCTGTGTTCCAGAAGGTGAGCTCTGTGTTTGTGTTTGGTCTAGATCAGCCATGCAATCACACTCCAGAAGGCAGTAGAATATATCGCTAAGCTGCAGCAGGAAAGGACCCAGATGCAGGAGGAAACCAAGCGCCTGCGGGAGGAAATCGAGGAGCTGAACGCCACGATCATGTGAGACCTGGGGAGCTTTCTGTGCTGCTTTGGTTAGCAGAGGGAGTGTTTGCCCAGGGGTCACACCATGCAGCAGATGGGTGCTGAAGAGCAGGGAAGTTGCTGTCAGCCCCAAACTAAAGGCAAAGCTCCTGTGGGTACAAACTGTGCGGGTTTTCAGCAAGCTCTGAGCACAAATGCATGGCAGTGGCAGCATCAGGGAAGATGTGTCAGGTCAGAATAATTCTGAGAACAAGGCAGTGGTGATGCTTTTATAAAGCTGTGCTCACTGGTGATCAAACACTCTTACTCTTCTCAGTGGCTTTGCTGCAGTTTTCTTCTCAAATGTCAGTTTTCACAGGAAAATAGGATTGAGCACATAAGGCACAGGACTTGGACTCCAGATGTTTGGACTGGTCGAATATAACTCTGATAAATCACTTCACCTTCCTGCTGCCTCAGTTTGCTCTGTGGGATCATGATTGTTACGTACTATTGTAAAGCACCTTGAGAACCCCAGTGGCTTTACTTCCATCTCCAGAAGTTTTAGGCTTAGGAGTAATATCAGAATTAGCAGCAAATCAAAACCTTTTTATTTTTCTTAAAAAGTATGAAGGAGTCTGTTTAATTTTATTTTAAATTGATCTGTTCCTTCAGAATCCCCATAACATTTTTTCCTGTAACATTGCTCAGGACTAACTGTAAATATTTCCTTGATTCCTATTGTACCTTCTAATTGGATGCCCAAAACTTTGTCCTGTGTTATACTTTGTTTTCAGTTTTGTTGCTTGTAACAAGAAGTGTGTGTGTAGCAGTTTGAGAACCACTTTGAATGCAGACAAAACTGATGGGAGAACAGTTTGTGTTCCTGACTGGAACAGTTACATTTTGTCAGCCTCGTGCCCTGGGAAGCCCCTTGATCAGAGAGAGTGGGGATACACACATTTCTCGTGCTCTGATTTAGTCTGGAAGAGAATTGTGCCCTTTTTAGTGGGACTCTGACCTTGGAACATCTTTGCAGTTCCTGTCAGCAGCAGCTCCCGGCCACCGGGGTTCCCGTAACGCGCCAGAGGTTTGACCACATGAGGAAGATGTTTGACGAGTACGTGATGAGCAGGACCCTGCAGAACTGGAAGTTTTGGATTGTATCCTTTTACATCAACCTGTTGAGCTTAGAGTTTGGTACTGGGACATTTAGAGCCGAGAACTTGGGATTCTGATGCTGGGACTTGAAGCCAAGTTACTTAAATAACAAGTGTCCTCAGTTTTCGTCCACATCTGTGCATGGATATGAATCCTTGCCTTCAGGCTGCCTTGAGGCACAACTTGTTCATCCTAAAGTATGGGGGGTAACTGGAAAGTAAAATGCAACACAAAGGTGAGGTACTACAAGAAATCTTTAGGGCTCTGCTGTTACTGCAGCTCATGTTGTCTTTTGGGAAACCTACACAGAGAATAGCAAAGACTTCAGGGGAAAAAAATTACGAACTTGTACATTCCCCTTTTCTCCCCTTTCCTTCCTTTTTTCTCCCCCTTGCCTTTTTCCCCTTTCAGGTGAGTATGGAGGGATTGTGCAAAATATAATGAGTGTCATTAGGAACTGAGGTTCAATTTTTCCTGTGTCTTAGTGTTGTAGGTTTGAACAAATATTTTTTGAAATGTTGCAGTCCCTCTGCTAGTTGAGTCCAGTAAGAAATCCAGTGTTTTCTGTGTAATAGCCTTTCCCAAAGAATGTTTTTGAACTCCTCCTTTGTTGTCTCCCTTAACATTTGGTGGTTTGCAGTTCAGCATTATTATTAAGCCATTGTTTGAGTCCTTCAATGGGATGGTTTCCACAGCAAGCTTTAAGGATCTGAATGAAACTGCACTGGCCTGGTTGGATCAGCACTGTTCTCTTCCTGTTCTGAGGCCAAGTAAGCGAAGTTCCATCCTGCAGCTATTCCACATCATAGGAAGCGAGACCATATATAATATCATCTCTGGAAAGTCAGAGGATGACAAAGAAAGCACATGATGAATATGACTTGCACTTCCTTTTTGTTAGCTCAGGGGAAAAGTTAGAACCTCTTCTGAGTGAGAAGACACTTGGTTCCATGTTTAACACTGAGCAGGAAAAAAAACCGTATTGCTGAATATACCAGAATTTAAACAGCCTTAAACTGCATTTAAATTTCAAATACATTGGAGTAAGTTTGGCAGTGTGATTTCTCTCACGATGAAGGAAGATGTGTGAGATTTGTGTTCAGCTTTGGAATGACCTTCTGTTCCCCCTTGCAGTTCAGCAAGTATTCAATTTACATTTATAATTGTGGAGGGTTGCAGAAGGAAGGTCAGTCAGACTCTAATGGCTTTTCTTGCTGCTTTTCTGCCTGTTTTGTTTTTTGCAGTGGTGCTGAACACCCTCCGGCACCTCAGCACAACCACGTCGATCCTGTCGGACCCGTCGCGCCTGCCGGAACAAGCCACGGAGGCCGTGATCAAACTGAACAAGAGAGCTGGAGAAACCTAACAACCAAAGACACTGAGGTGCTTGTCCAAGGGGTGCAGAACCTGCCAGCCCCAGCCTGGTGAGGCTCCTGTCAGCCTGTGCACTTTAGAAAGGGTTCTCTCCATCGCCCCGATCGCTCGGGGTGTCCGGCTCTGCCTTCAGCCGACGTGCAAAGCGACGCAACGTTGTCAGTGACCCAGCGTTGTCCCAACGTTCTGACCCCTCTCCAGTGCTGTGCTGGCTCCGTTCAGTGAGAAAAACACCAAGCTCAGGTAAACTCAGCAGGTTTGAGTCCTGCAGGCAGCAATATGTCTCCATCAATGCAGCATTTTCATCTGTATGCAACAGATCTCTAAGAAACACCTTCGAGTACTAAACTCTCTGAAGGGTAAATCCTGTACACCGAGGAATGTGCTCTTCAAGGGGAAAATACTTTTGATTTTATGAAGCGAAACGTGCTCTTTATTTTGTTTTCTGGTGTTCAGTTCCATTTGTTTTACTTGAATAGTGGAAATTGTTAAGCAGGATCACACGACAAAACCAAAGGAGAAGAAAAATCCGTCAGTGATGTCATGGCAAAAATCCTAGAATTAAAATCTCAGGCTGTGTTTTGTGTCTTTTTTATTTTAATGAGTGTGTCATTGCATATGATCAGTTTCCTGACGTGCTTTATTTTCTAGTAAATAAAGTAGCTGATTTTTATTCTTTTTCCTGATACAGCCATTGCAAGGGGGCAGCAGGCTGTGCAGTAAGTGCAAGAAAGCAGGTTTAGATTGCAGAAATTCTCCAATTAGGATAAATTTATGAATTTCATACCAGTTTAATCAATGAGCTGTTTGCTTGCACTCTGCACAGTTCAGCTGCCATCCTCACAAAATGTGCACATATAAAACACACCCATAGGCAAACGTAGTAGCACTTCAGAGGCAAGAATTGAGTTTGTAAGGGGGAGAAATTGGCTTTTTTATTATCTCAGAAAACTATATCAAACCACACAGACTTGTAGTCAGTTTTTTGCTTCTCTGTCTTCTTTTCTTCTTTTTGCTTTCTACCTGAAAAACCTGAAGGACTTTGCTAAACCTGGTGTGTATGGGAGGGTTATGTTCAGCATGAATTATAACACATGTAAAAATATATTAAAAGCTCAAAAACACTGCATAACGTTTTTCTGTTGGAGTCTCAGCACAGACTGTGCTCTGCTGCAGATAAACTGAGTTACAGCAGGAATGGTCCATCCTGAGACAGCACTGGAATAGTCATTCCAGCTGATAGTTCATAGTCTGGAATGATCCTGTGACCCTTGTAATTCCACTCCTGGCTTGACTCTGACTCTTCAGAGCTATGCAAACTGTGGGGATCTCTTCCCTCCTCCCTCCTCTGAGCAGTTTTCTTCCAGTTCCAAGATCAGGCTGCTGGAGGTGGTCTGCAGCCTCTCCCAGTGCTAAAATGAGGAGCAGCTGGAACATCTGAGGGTTGCACACTCTGAAATGCACTCAGGGGGTCCTCCTTGGGGGATGGAGTTTTTCTCAGCCTTGTCCCCACTGTCCTCCACTTGGTGGGCCAAAATCTGAAAGGAAACAAGAATCCTGGGGAGTGGAACTAAGCACAGGGGGTGGGGTTGGTTTTAATTTTTCCTGAAGTTTTGCAGCCAGTGGCTTTCCTTGCTGAGTTCCCTTCAGTGTGAGCAGGAACGTGCAAGGAGGAGACACGGAAGGTGAACCCCAGGGCCCTCTCCATGAGCAGAGGTACCTTGGGCTGAGGAACTGAGAGCTGAAGGGGAAGGCAGAGCTGAGTCCCATCATGCCTCCCTGTAGCTGTGCAGACAGATGAGGAGATGCTTTTTTTATCTTTCTTTCTTTTTTTTACAGCAAATCTGACATATAACCTGTGTTTTCATCTGTGACAGAACCAACACAAACCCAAGCCTCAGCTAAGGAATGGTTTGTTGAAATAGTGTATAAAGGTTGTCATTGTAATTAAAGAGTGAGTAGATTTTTCTGGAGAGATCCGTACCTAGATCTTCCATACATAATGTTGTAATTAATTAAGCAATACTTTTTGGGATGCAGCTGGGTAAGGAGTGTTGAACAGGTAAATTCTTTTTTAAACCAGTGCTTTAAATCCTTCGGTTTTATCACTGGTTGCAAACTCGATTCCAGTGAAGTCATTGAACACTGTGATGGGCTGGGGAGGGTCCCTCCCATCCTTCCCTCAGGGGGCTAAAATCTCCCTGAGATGCACAGACACCACGTGGGTGTTTGCTTGTCAAAAACACCTCCTGTTTTCTAGCAAGAAATCAGTGGGCACATTGTCCAAGAAGGGGTGTTTTTGCTGAGCTTTCAGAGTGGAGCCTCCCCTGCACTCTGGTCTCCTGCTTGTCAGCAGCGATCGTGTGTGATTTTTGCCATTTCTGGTATCGATGACGTTGGAGTTTTGTCTCAGCGAGCAAAGGGGCTGTGCAAGAAATGCTTCAAGGCCCAGGGAAATCTGGCAGCTCAGATCCTGACATTCCAGATCTCACTGGACTGGAAGCTGAAAGGGACTTAAAAGGAACAGGAAAGGGTAATTTGACTGAGTTGCTGAACATTTTGTCAATTTACGGTTTTTATCTGGATGGAAAAACCATCAAGCTCATTGCGTCACGAGCTGGTTACAATTGGAGGGAAAGTGCTTATTTTATCAAATTGTGGTGGAGAATCAAGCTCAAAGCACTATTGAAAATCTGCAAATCTTAACGTACTAAAGAGAAAAAAAATAAATCAAAGATTGCTTACTTAGGCAAGAGTGTAGGAGGGAGGGAAGGAAAAGTGAAAATATATTTTCCACATAGTGCAATTACCAGAAATGATGTGGCTGCTCCTCAAAGCAGTGATTCAATATATTTTTGTCCCCCTCCTGCTGCAAATCAGAATTCTTTACTTTATCAGTCAGCCTTGTGAGGAGAGTGATTTCACTTCATGTGGAAACACAGGAGGAAAGAGCTGGTTTGTGGCTCACTGAGCAGTAGAACTACTGAGCACTGGTATGAGAAGAGATGGACCACGTATGTATTGGTTCCTGCACAGTTTTCCACTTTGAACTCCTTAGTCTGTCTTTCTTGCCCATTGAGGAGTTTCAATGCTTTTTTTTTTTTTTTCCAAAAGTGTAGTAACACTTTCTCCCCTCATCTAAGGGCTCTGATTTCCTCAGCGTCACCAAAGCAAGCCAAACAGACAGTGCCTATATCTGCACAGAATTACAGGTGATGCACGTCTGTCTTCAGTGAATTGGTGCTAAACTTTCAGAGAACACCCCCAGAACTGAATGCAAGTCATATTCATTCAAATCCAACATCTTTCACTGAGTAAATGAGTGGCTAAATGATTTATCTGTGGCCTGTGATATGCACAAAGTCAAACTAGGATTGTGTAGTGGTTCCTCTGACCTTGAATTGTGTTAATCGGAATATTGTAGGTGGCCCCCACCCCAAACACAGGTTCTGGGCATTATCTGGTGGAGTTCTTAGCTTGTGTTGTAGTTTTTAGCCTCCTCTTAGCTGGAGGAGTAAGTGGTGAAACTCCAGGAGCACACTAGGATTGAAGGAATTAATGAGTAGTAGGATCAGAGATAAGTGCACACTTCATCATGACAGTCTGATCTCTGCACAAAACCAAAGGAATCTTGATTACTACCATTTGAGCCTACTGGAATGTTCTTCCATGCTTTTCTGGACCCCTGGGGAAGGCTTCCTTGAAGGGAGGCTGACCAGAATGTTTCCATCCGTGCCTTAGGTCTTGGTGTCATGGTTGCATTTGATTTGTCACCTCATGCATTGTTCCCCCCAGTATAGTGCTCTGTGGAAAATTCTGTGAGTGGACAAAGTGGGGCTTCCCTGGCTTTTAAGAAGGTTTTATCTGTGTCCCTTTCAAACTGAGGTTGGTGAGTAATCGTGTGTGTGAACGGGAAAAGTTGCCTCTCTCCTGCTGAACTCACCACTCAGCTGTCCCGTGCGCACGAGCACACACACTCACGTACAGGCTGTCAGACCACAGGCTTGACAGCAACCACAAAATATGCAAGGGCTTAAACCTCTCAATCTGAAATGGCTTGAAAAAGGCAAAGGGCTGTCAAATTGTACTGAGAAAATCATCATCCCTTTGCATCTTCAGGGTTTTTTACATTCCTTTGTGAGAGTGTGTGTGTGTCTGTGCACGTGTGGTAGAGGGGACAGGGAAATTTAGATTTTTTGTTTTTTTTTAAAACCCCAAACTCCTGAAGAACGGTTTGAGAACAGAGAGGGAAGCTCACTGCAAGATCATCCAGTAAGGCAATGCTTTTGTAGTGCAAATTATTTGAAGGCTGTTTCACTTTCGGAGTTTCTGGAGTGAATAATTCTTGCCTTGATGTTGCCAACTAGAAGATGCAGCTGAAAATAGAATGTTGTTAACTGTGTTCACCTTTTTCTTTCTCTTTTTTTGGTTTCTTTTCACGTTTGTTGCATGGAAAAACACCCACAAAAGGCTGATGACACCCAATTTAGGTTGCTTTAGGGACTCAGTCATACCACTCTTGGAGGATTATGGACAACTGTTGATAACTTCTAGGAGTTTTTTTTAATTAGGTGAGACAACAGGAGTTTTTCTGTTACTCCTCAGTTTATACCCTTGAGTTTCAGAGGAGATCACTTGTTTTTTTTCTTTTATAGAGCCCCAATATTTTTCCCACAACATCAGTTAAGCCTCAGGTTTCCTTTTGTTTCACTTTTGGTTGGATTTCCTGCTCATTTATTGTGTTAGAGCAGAAGAGGTAGTACCAAATTGTAGGTTTATCTGTAAAACTTGAGTTCTACAGTAACTTCAGTTGCAAAGAAACACACCTTAGGTATGTCATAGAATTACTTTGTAGCCATTGTCTGAACTTCTTTCATGTCTGAACTTTTCCAACACGAAAAAGGTTATCAATCAAAAGACATCTGTGTTAGGAGCAGACCTTTCAATTAACAATACAATTAATAAGTTGCTCGTTTTCTTCTTCTAACCTTGTATTTAAATGTGTTTTCAGTGAATGGAATTCATTCTTGTTAAAAAAAAAAAAAAAAAAAGGAAAAAAAAATGCTTGAAGGTATGAGGACTTCAGGTTGTGCTCTTGCTTTGCTTAGGTTTCCTTTTCTGTTGCATGACACAACTTCTGTTGTGCTGTTGATATGTAGCACTTTCCAGTAGGTCTGTTAAATTGTGCAATGCATTTTTTTTTATATATATTTACAACCAAAACAATAAAGGATATTTTTTGGAAGAAACTGGTTGCAATGCCTTTATTTTCTAGCTGGAGGTGGGGAAATGGTTGAGTGGAATTGCTCCTGGACCAGGGCCAGCACCTGGCAGTCTTTTTTGTGACTTTCCCTGTGAACAGGAAAACAAAAGTGAGAGTGAGCTCATTTGACAGGGTTTTTTTCATTTCTGCATTTCTAACAGGCAGTAATTCCCAGGCAGCCCTGGTATTTCTCCAATGCACCAATGCCTTGAGCCCTGTTGGTCTTACTTTCTTACAGGCTTGGATTCGAGTCTGACACATTGGCTGGACAGCGGAGTCTGAGGTTGGATAACACGGTATTCCCATGGGATTGGTGGCAGTGTTATGCACTGAGCTGCTTAAGCCCATTTAAAAAATGAAATCAGTAACGTTTCATCCTTGCCTTTAACGACTGCTCTTTGTTTTTCCCTGGTAGGACACTCCAGTTCCCTGTGCTGAAAGTTGTCACCTCGTTGGTATTTTGGATTTCCTTGCCCAGCAGAAGCAGCACTGAGTGCCTGAGGCTCTAGTTGAGGTAAAAGGCGATAACAGATGAGTGAAAAGAAGGATTTTATTTTAGAATCACCGCATGAGAGTTTGTGCTGGTAGATCTTATCCTTGGCATTGGTGCCTTTTGACTTAATATTTCTTATGAGAAGCCCTGATGAGTCAGGCCTGCGGTTCCAGAGGGTACAGCAGTTTTTGAACTCTGCATTTCATTTTTCAGAAATCTGCAGCTTGATCTCACAGAGCACTTTCATAGGAATAGGCAGTGAAGAGCAGAGCTCTTTAACCAGTGACAAACCAACACTTGAGACTGACTCCTCTCTTGACCAAGCGTTACAAATGCCAGAGCTGCTGCAGCGATGCTGTCAGAGCTCTCGGGGAGGAAGTTGTGGCTGGAGAGAAAATTTTCTGTACTACTGATTCAGTGGTGATTTCAGGGAGGCTGCTGTAACTTGAGCTGAGGTGCCACACGACCGTTTTTGAAGTGGCTTCTTTCTGTGGCTGGTTCTGCTAATCCTCAAACGCTGCCAAAAGCAGACCTGCTGGAAATGGTGCCAAATGAAATCACTGCTGTAAAGGAATTGGCCCTCCAGTGGGCAAACAGCTCAGGGCTCTCTTTCTATGTAAAAGAATGGAATGTAAGGCTCATTAGATGTTTTTTAATTTATTTTAAACTATATTTACCCTCAGGAGCTCTTCTCTGCTGTTCTCATCCCTCAAGACTTTCTCCAGGAGGTGACAGGGCAGACAGAGAATGGTTGTTAGGTGCTGTTGGTCTTATGCAAACACAGAAGAGCCCCTGTTGTCATCCAGAGAGATGTTTAACATGTTCCTGTCTCAGAACAAGGTGTGTG